TTACGAATATTTGCCTTTTCTACTCATCGATCGCATGGTAAGTGGTGAAGATGCATTTTGGGGCACAGATGTAAATGGATGCAAGAAGCAATTTTTTATTATTCAAACAAACCTTTTTATCACATGTTTTCTTCCTTCAAAAGATTTTAGAGATTTTACAACCTGGGTATAAAGCCGACATCATATACGTAGTTTCGATAACGTTTTCAAAACATTTAAAAGGCTATGAAAATCAATTTCTCACATTTTTATCTGAACTTAATTTTATTACAAAAACAAAAATAAATCTAACCAATCAGCGATCAATTTATCAAAGCACAGAATTCTATCGAATATATAGGTGACAAAATTATTGTATCATTACACACACAACAATGTGTATTAAATTACAATGTTATCGTTTCTTAAACGAGTAAGCTAGAGCAGTGTTCCCCAACCTTTTTGTCGCGGCGGATGGGTCAACGTTGGATAATTTTACCGCGGCCCGCTAGGGGGAAGGACATTGATTTTTTTTATTTAATAATTTTATTTTAATTGTATTTAAACGTCCTCAGAAAAAAATATATCTACACCAAAAAGGAATATAAAGTGATTTAAAAATTTTACAAGGAATATAAAGTGATTTTCATAAAAAGTAGCCCAAACCCAAGAAAAATATGCCGCAGTAAATAAAATGGAAATAATTTAGTGTTCCCTCCCCCTTCTGCGGACCAATAGTATTTGATCTACGGACCGGGGGTTGGAGACCACTGAGCTATAGTGTGAGCATTCCTTACCTTGAAAAATGGTTTTATATAATCAATTGCAACAACTTGCCGCCCCCTCCCGCTGATATAAAGAAAACACACACACAATTATCTGCTGAGTGTACCCCATTCACAAAAGCTGTTTGAGTATTTAAAAAAAATCATACGTGAAAATAGCCATTTAAAATATTAATTTCCTTCAAATAGTAATATAATAAAAATATTCAAAAGATGCATTGTTCATGCCGCCTCATCAAGATTCACGAAATTTATCTGGCATTCCACGCCATACAGATAACAGTACGATTTGGCTCGGCTTCAACCCAATTTTGGCTTTGGTAGCCTAGTGGTCAAGGTTACGGACTCTCGACCGGCATGTCATGAGTTCGAACCTAGTATCGCAGAAGACCCATCGTGTAGGGGAGCGATGCACGTTAAATCTCTCGAGAACTCAAACGTCCGCCTGTTGGTGTGGTGTGGTAGTTAGGAGAGGAAGTGCCTCTTCACTTAAGGTAACCGACTACGTTCGAAACTGGGATTTTACAAAAGCGCATAAATGGATAATTTTTATGATATTTAGTGTCACTTAAATTAGAATACATGTATAAAATTGTTTTAAGGACATTTTGCAAAAAAAAAATTATTTAAATACACTATTTTGGCAAAAAATTAGCTTAGAATAATCTTTTTCAAAATGTTCTCCTTTTATAAAAAAATGTGCTTATAAAATAATAATATTTCGTTTACATTAAGCAAAAACTTCTCCAGAGAGTGTGAACTAGGAATTTTGAAAAATTCACATTATTTTCAGAGTTACCACCAATTGAAATAATTATTGGCGTTTTTTTCTTAAAATTGATCCCCTCTGTTGTCGTAAAATGTGGATAAACCTACTTCTAAGCTAAATATTTCAAAAATTCTAGTTGAGCCTCTGAACAGAGGTCTGAGCTATATACAGGCAAAATATTATTTTAATAGAAGCATTTTTCACGAAGGGAGAATATTTTGAAAATTGGGTATTTTCTGTGTTTATTTTTTATCAAAATATTGCACTTAAATAATTTTTTTACTCTAATAATATTCTTAAAACAATTTTATATACATTTTCTAATCTAAGTGACACTAAATATCATAAATATTATCCATTTATACGCTTTTGAAAAATCACGGTTCCAAACGTAGTCGGATACCTTAACCATGGTTCAAAATTACGAGGTCTATCGCCAAAAGCCCTCGAGTAGCTGAACGGTGCGACGTTGATATCACTCCACCCCAATTTTGGAGGAAAACACCGTGGGGGTGTTCATGGGCCTCCCATCTCTCTTCCTCTTTTCACTAACCTCACAAGAAGACTTGCGGCTGGACGACTATTTAGAGTAACCCCTTACTGCGAAAGCACCGTTAGCTTACAGACACCCATACCTTATCTAATCTTCAAACCCGGGTCATATGGAACAGAAATCAGTTTCACTAACCACTATACCGGATGGTAAAGTGGCAACCATCAGCAACAAAATATAAATTATCAGCATAAGTCAGACACAGGATAATTACCAACACTGTGAAAATTTTGTATCCAGAAGTTTCCCAAATATATATTGAGGAGGCCGATACACGTTAAATATGTTGAGGTTCAAGCGTCCTCCCATTGGTGTGGTATGGAAATTAGGAGAGGAGGGGCCAGCTCAGGCGGCGTCCTCGTCACTTGACCATGGTTCAGAATTACGAGGCCCATCACCAAAAGCTCTCATGTAGTGTGACGTTAATATTCTCTCACTCACTCCAACTGCAATTGCCCATGGAATCAATTTAAAGGTATAAACATTCATGAGAATATCAAATTAAAATATTAAATTATGTTCTGGATTGAAAAGTGGGTTTTCCATATACTACGAATATAGCTTATTTTTACATAAATGCGGTTTTTCAATTCCTACTATTAGTTCACCCTCTCCCTTTATCTATATATATAAAGGAGAAAAGCGACTTAATCACTCACTCACTGACTAACCACGATATCTCCGGAACTATTCAACCTACAGACTTGAAATTTGGTAGGTAGGTTCCCTTCATGGAGTAGACGTCAGCTAGGAACGGATTTTGCAAAGTTCAAACCCCAAGGGGCGTTACGGGGGTTTAAGGGGCGTTATAGATGATTATTTCCATTAATAAACTATTGGATGTACAGTCGCGAAACTTGGTACACAGATTTCTTTCATTCAGTAGATATTCTCTACATAATGATTTTTACGAAAATCGACCTCCAAGGGGCGTTGAGGGCGCTTAAGGGGCGTTATACATAATTATTTCCATTTTCAACCTATTAGACGTACAGTCTTGAAATTTGGTAAGCGGATTCCTTTCATAGTGTACACATCCCCTACAGAATAGGTTTTGTGAAAATCGACTCCCAAGTGGCGTTGTAGAGAATTAAGTGGCGTTATAGGCAATTAACTCCTTTTTTAAACTATTAGACGTAAAATCTTGAATTGAGTAAGCAGATTTCATTCACTGAATAGAGATCCGCTATAAGATGGGTTTTGTGAAAATCGTTTCCTAAGTAGCGTTTCGGGGGGTTAAGGGGCGATATAGATAATTATTTCCATTTTTTAAATTATTAGATGTATTGTCTTAGAATTTGGTATCGGATTCCTTTCATGGTGTAAAGATCCGCTACCAAATAGTTTTGGGGAAATTTGATCCCCAAGGGTCACTGAAGGAGATTAAGGGGCGCAATAGATAAATATTGCCGCTTTTCAACTAATGGACCCATCTGCTTGAAAATTAGAAGGTATGTTCCGTTCATAGAATAGAGTTCCTTTTACAAAAAGTTTTTCGAAAACGGACCCCCAAAGGAGTGGGGTTGCAAGGGATTAAGGCGTGTTATAGAAAAATTCCTGTTTTTGATTTTAACCCATTTACCTGAAATTTGTTGAGCACGTTTCTTTAGTTGAAAAGAGTTCCACTAAGAATGGATTTTACGGAAATCAACTCCAGGGGAAAGTGCGGAAAGTTATTGGGGCGTATTGATAGACAAAATTCCCGTTTTCGAACTTCTAAGAGTATAATAATAAAATTTGGTTTGCATGCTTCTTTTGTTGAATTGGAATCCGCTAAGAATACTCTTAACGAGGTATTGATGATAAAAACTCCGATTTTGCTCTGTTATATTTGAAATTTAGAACGCATGCTTATTTTATGGAGAAGAGATCCACTGAAAGTTGCTTTGGTGGAAATCCACTTGATTATTAGGTTAAGTGAGCGCAAAAAATCTTTCTACTTCTATTTTAGATATAAATAGAAATTAGATATTATAATTTATGACCTTTTTATATCAAGGGGCGAGAGTGTAACAGCTATAAATATATTTTTCAACACAATCGAATTCTTAATGCTAGATATCAATAATTAATATATATTTAATCAGTATACATATTAATGCGATGCCCAAGTTTGTTCATTTAATTTATCTGTCCTACACCCAGATTCTTAATTTAACATCGCATCATGACTTAAGTTAAAATTAGTTAAGTTTCTATTGACAAATTAACATTACACTAAATTAACAGTCCGATCGTATAGTGGTAACAATTATATTTATTGATTGACATATTGGTAAAAAAAACGTTAAATTTTACAAGAGGGTGGTACTTATCTGAGAGGATAGGAGTGACTGAGGGGTGACCTCGGGTAGCGAGTTCGCTTCCCGACTGGAGGTTTTTTCTGGTAGACGTAAGAGGGAAAAAGGCCCCGAGAATTCTTGCGGACCAGCTTTTAAAGCCGACCGCACCACTTGGAAAAGAATCCGCTACGGATTCATTACTATCAAATCTACCACCCTGATTGGATTCCACTGTCCGCGTAAGAACACAACCTTGCCGGCCATCAGGTCCGTTGAACCCGACGCACCCACATTCCTGTGTAATCCCTATTTCCTGTAAACAGGGCAAATGCAAAAATTACAACTGTATCTCAGGGGCCGGCGGCCTCCCATCAATATATACAACATCGTGAAATACCCAGTGAAGCGGGTGGGTAACGGCTAGTATGTATATATATATTGCACAAATTTTCAATCGTTAGTAAAATACTTTTTATTCATCCATATAAGTTTAGATATGTTTTTTAAACTAGTAGTGAATGGCACGATGTTAATACAGTTTTTTCAAATATTAATTTATTAATTAATTAATAATTAGTAGAAAACAAAAATAATAGTCCAACACCATATATAAAAAGAAAATCGCTCGTTATATCCCTGCTGCACAATGGGTAGCGCATTGAACTTCTAATTCAAAGGTCATGGGTTCCAATCCCGCCTGGGGTGGCCTAAGTTCTGAGAATGTTTTTTTTTTTCATTTTTCTATACTATTTTATTGGAATAATTAAATTTGATAAAAGATTAGATAGAGCACAAACAAAAATAATAGTCCAACACCGTGTATAGAAAGGAAAATCGTTTTCTATTTTGCCACTTAATGTTGTGATTCTGTGATATGTATATACATATGACAGAATTGTATATTAATTGTAATTATTTAATAAAAAGTAACTAGAATAAAATTTTTCTTTGTTGACCTAAGTAGGAACTGATATTTAAAAAAATTTATATTACTTGTTTGAGTCAGATCTTACGTTATTCTGAAAATGTTTGCTTTTTTGTTGCTTACGTGAGTGTACGAAAAGTTGTTATAATTCTCAATCCACAAATTTTTCAGTTTTAATCTCAACATACTTTAAGAGATTCCTTTATAATACCTCTCGAAGCGTATCACATTTCCCAGACATATAATTTAAATAAAGCTTCGTCATACACTTCAAAGTTATACGGTCTTCTATCCTGGAATTTTACGAAGTATGAAAGCAAGAGAGTGGTTATTCCTCTTCTAGGAAAGCCCACGCGTTCCAAGAGAAAGACAGAAAATACTTAAAAAATTTTTTTTTCAAAAAACACTCATACGTCCGAAGCGGTGAAGTATAAATTCTTCCTTGGGTTGAGACCGAAATTATCTCTCTTCTCCTCTTCCTATAACTCCGGGAAACAATCCTGAAGAGCTCCGATAGGAGAAACCAGAATGGAAAGAGGAAAAAAATGTCAAAGTGAGGATGCTTGGCGAGCAAAATGGCACGATTAATAATTTTTAATTTCATTATTCCTGGAGCAAAACGGGAAAGAAAAATGGGTTAATTGGGAAGAGGAAAGGGAGAGAGTTTTATGCAAATGTCCCCTGGAAAACAGGAGATGGTAAAGGGGGAATGTGTAGATATTAAGGGGCTTGAGGAGTTAGAGGAAGAAAAATGTTTTTCAATTTAAGGCTCTGATGTTCTTTGGCGCACTTTTTTCGGAGAGGCTGTTCGTGTTTTCGCAAGGAATGTAAGTTCTCGGATAAGGAGGATATTTTCTCGGGCAGTAAACATTTTTACGTTTCGTTTATTTCCTCTTCGGTGCACAAGTGCGGCGTAAAAGTGTTAACTCAGTTATATGTGAGTGGGAAGGAGAAAACTAATATCTGACAAGGAAAAAGTTTAACGTGGAGAGTTTTAATATAAAATACGCTGGAATCAATAGTAAGAAATTGTTAAGTTTTAGTTTAATGGGGGTTTTAACAGCTTGCTTTTAGCGTTATAATATCGAGGTCCTTTCTAAGATTAATACGTTGAAAAATGCATAGCTTAAGATCTGATTCGTTCATAAATGGTTATTGTGGGGGCGGTTGTTGTCAAGGTATCCGACTACGTTCGGAACCGTGGTTTTGCAAAAGCGTATAAATGAATAATATTTATGATATTTAGTGTCACTTAGATTAGAAAACAGATATAAATTTTTTTAAGAATATTATAACAATAAAAAATTATTTAAGTACTATATTCTGACAAAAAATGAATATAGAATGATCAATTTTCAAAACATTCTCCATTTATGAAAAATGCTTCTAAAGAGTGTTTTTTTTCCAGATATAGTAGTTTAAGTTGGCATTACTTTCCAAGATGGCGACGAATTAACAGCTGTCAAGTGATTTATTCTCAGTTTGGTTTGGCAATTCATCAAAACGATCATCAAGCAAGGCGTAGATTCGTCGAATGGGCCCAAAACGAGATTGCCGTTGTTCCCGATTTTCATAAGCAAATTTTGTTTAGCGATGAAGCGCACTTCTGGTTGAATGGCTACGTCAACAAACAAAACTGCCGCATTTGGAGTGAAGCTAATCCACAAGTGTATGTCGAAACACCGTTACATCCAGAAAAACTGACTGTTTGGTGCGCTTTATGGGCCGGTGGAATCCTTCTTCAAAAACGATGAAGGCCACAACGTTACAGTCAATGGTGATCGCTGTAGAGCCTTGATTACTAACTTTTCATTCCTGAATTGAACAATCAGGATGTCCAGGAGCTGTGGTTCCAACAAGACGGCGCAACATGTCACACAGCTCGTGCCACAATCGATTTATTGAAAGACACGTTTGGTGACCGCCTAATTTCACGTTTTGGACCTGTGAATTGGCCTCCAAGATCTTGTGGTTTAACACCGCTAGACTATTTTTTGTGGGGCTATGTAAAGTCATTGGTCTATGCGGATAAGCCACAAACGCTTGACCATTTGGAAGACAACATTCGCCGTGTTATTGCCGATATACGGCCACAAATGTTGGAAAAAGTCATCGAAATTTGGATGTTCAGATTGGACTACATCCGAGCCAGCCGTTGCAGTCATATGCCAGAAATCATACTTAAAATGTAATGCCACAAGATTATGTCAATCGAATAATACATCGTTGTTTTATTGCAATTTAAAGTTCTATACCTCTAAAAAAACACCCTTTATTATAAAAATATTTTGTCTGTATACAGCTCAGACCTCTGTACAGAGGCTGAACTAGAATTTTTGAAATATATAACTTAGAAGTGGGTTTATCCATGTTTAACGACAACAGAAGGGAGAAATTTTAAGAAAAAAAACACCGATAATTATTTCAATTGGTTGTAACTCTGAAAATAAAGTGAATATTTCAAAACTCCTAGTTCAGACTCTCTATAAAAGTCTTTACTTCATATAAGCAAAATATTATTATTATAGAAGCATTTTTTATAAAAGAGAACGTTTTGAAAATATTAACTTTTTGCCAAAATATTGTATTCAAATAAATTTTTTGTCAAAATGTCTCCTTAAAACAATTTTTTACATGTATTTTAATCTAAGTGACACGAAATATCATGGAAATTATCCATTTATGCGCTTTTTTAAAATTACGGTTTCGAGCCTAGTCGGATACCTTAAGCAAATGTAATAACCGCGTTACTAGGCTAAAAATGTTGTATAGCTACAGAAACTCACTTTATAATTAAAATAATTTCTATCACATTTTTTTGTAATGATATAAGATTTATTCAGTTTTTTTTATTAGTTATGAACTGATACAAGCAAATTATTTAGAAATTATTTGAACGTGTTTAGAGATAGTTAAATACTATTAATTTGTGTTATATTATTTACTAGCTGCAAGTATCCGGCTTTGCCCGGGTTTAAAATAAGGTTTTCTGTAGAAACTTACAAAACTGCTTATTTGCATGCAATAAAAGGGTACATTTATCTTAAATCAATGTGATAGACAACATTTTTAGCAGTTTCATTTGGAGTGTGTACAAAAAGATTTTCCTCTCTGCCCACTCTAGAGCAGGCCACATACAACTGCCCATGAGAAAAGCATGGTGTCTGCAAGTCTATACTCTCCCCCTTTTTCGCATAGGCATGACTGTAGCAAAAAATGACAATGCATTCCTATGAATGAAGGAATGAAATGGAATGTAGTAAGTAATGTGATATTTGTGGCAGTATTTGCTTGCAGTAAAGTAAATATAACAAAGAAGTATTGCAAATTATTTACCGCTTTTGTTTAGTAAAGTTTTCTCTAAAATGAACCCATGGCTCAGATCATGCACATGGAACACTCTTTTTGGCTGGAGGAGGCCAGAGTGAGGTTGGGATGGAACGAAACCTGTTTAAAATCCTTCCCCATGTAATTTTGTGAATGTGTACCAAATTTCACGTTATTTGGTTGTCTGGACCTTGAGTTATAAGGAAACAGACAAACAAATGCGTCTTATATGTATATATAGATATAGATACAGATTTGTTTGAACTCTTGTGTATTACTTTTGTAAGCTTCATGGCATATTTTATGGTGTACCAGTCTTTTAAAGATGACTGAGCCACAGCAACATTTAGCTATAGGTATAGCTAGTTATAACATAAAATTAAATCTTAAGAAGATATCAAATATAAAAGAAGGCTCAATATTTTGATTAAATCAGTATAAACATTTTCGTAAAAACACAATACTGTAAAATATTTATTTTGCTATTTGCCTTACAGACAGACATCAAACAAAATTTTAAAAATTGTCAAAAACAGATAAAAAAAACATATTTAAGGAAGATACCACTGATTAATTTTGCCAAAGACATCGCAATGTGTAAAAAAAAATATTTGCAGTACATAATCGCCAAAAAAAATGTAAGTACTAAAATATAGAAAAACAAAAATTATATATTGAATTAATTAAGGATTAGTGGGAGGGAAAGATAAAACAGACTAAGATAATACTCATAATATTAATTTCATATTGGAAGGCTACTCATTTTTGGCATGATTTTGAAATCACGCCAAATTGGTGTTGTGGCCCGTCTAATGTTATAGTAATGTACAGAATTAAAGGTACTTATGTATTATCGCAACCTATTGGTGACATTATACAAAATGAAGCACATGATTGCCAATTCAACGCATACAAATTGGGATTGCCAAAGTGGCGAGTTGTCTTGAACGTTGGCGATTGTGCAATAATACGTAAGTACTAAATAAAAAAATTACCCAAAGTATATATATCCCGAACATAAAAAAAAATTGAAAAATGAGGTACAATACTAACATTAACTGACATAAAAAGAACTGAACTAACTTTATCAATGCAAAAGCATAATTTGAAAAAATAAGGTACTTACATATAACCGCAACCTATTGGCAATATATGAAACGAAGCACGACTCACAATTCAGCATATATATGACATGCGAAATCGGGGTTGCCAACTTGGCAAGTTATTTTGAACGTTGGCGATTGTTAGGATAGTACATAAGTTCCAAAAATAATTTATCTTACGACTACCTGCTTCATCAACAGGTATTTAAGCCATTTGTCTATTTTGCTCATTCTTTGATGCCTATTCCAGTTTGATATGTAATTACTAGCAACACTGCTTTTGCTTGGGCAGTATGATTACCCAAGTTTGATTTTCTGCATGGCAATTTTATGCACTGAAGCCAATAGTA